AAAGGAATACTTAAGGGATACCACTGGAGCACAATAGGAATACAAGATACATAGAACAAGAACACAAGAGGAATACAGCAGGAACGCACTAGGAATAATATAGGTACACCTACAAAAAGGGCATACAATTCGACTACGGCAGGAATGGAGTAGGAGCACACTAGGAATACAATAGGAATACAACTTAGCAATACAACAGGAACGCGTCCGGAAAGCAATAGGGACACATGGGAAGCCAATACAGAGAGGAGCAAGAGCAACAGCACAAAAGGAAAACAATCCGAATACGAGGGGAACACAATAGGAAAACAAGGGGGACACCATATAAGCACAATAGGAGAGCATTTGGGATACAACAGGAAGCCAATAGGAATAGAATAGGGACACGATACGGATTCAATAAGAATACGACTGGAACACAATAGGGAGATAATGGGAATCCCCGGGACAACTCCCGGTATCGCACAATAAGATTTCATTAGTAATACACACCAGGAACACAATATGAATACAACACAAAAGGATTACATAATAGGCAACAATCGGATTTTCATATGGCGCTAGTAGAAATCTACTGGGCACGATATTGACGTGTGAATCGCCCCGTTTTGTTACTCTCGTCATACAGCCGCTATACAAGCAGTAGGCAGGCATACTACACGAAGGTAAGGTTTGGGGCGACACTAAAGCGATATGCAAACCCAAGACTGCCATTATTAATTAAGATTGCCACTACCACGACTACGATTACTTGCACGACTACTACGATTACGACTATTATTACGACGGTGACGACAGTTATTACGATTTCTACTATTACTTTTGCTACTACTACGGCAACTACCCCTATTACTACGCTTACTATTAGTACTACCACTACCACTACTGCTACGACTACGACGACGACTACTACTACTACTACTACGACTACTACCACTACTACTACTACTACCACTACTACTACTACTACTACTACTACTACTACTACTACTACTACTACGACTGCTATTATTACTACTACGACAACAACTACGACTAGTACGACTACGGCCACTACGACTACTTTTACTACTACTACTACTACTACGACGACTACTACTATGACTACTACTACTACTACTACTACTACTACTACTACTACTACTACTACTACTACTACTGCCACTGTTGTTCCTATTACGACTACTACTACTACTACTACTACTACTACTACTACTACTACTACTACTACTACTACCACGACTACTACTACTGCTGCTACTACTACTACTACTATTATTAGTATTATTAATATTAATATTACTACGACGACGACGACTACTACGGTTCTTAGTATCACGATTACTTCTACTACGACTGCTACTACTAATACTACGTACGATTATTGCTACTACTACTACTATTACTACTACTACTACTACTACTACTACTACTACTACTGCTACTACTACTACTACTACTACTACTACTACTACTACTACGACTACTACTACTACTACTACTGCTACTGCTACTACTACTACTACTACTACTACTACTACTACTACTACTACTACTATTACGGTTTGCGTCGTCGCGGTGGGGATGCTGTTTTTTGTATTGCTGGGCGGGCTGAATAATGTTGGGGGTGTCTTTCTCCCAGGGTGACCCTACACGCGAGAGAATGTTTGATCACCTTATCTTGGGATTTGCAAGAGGGGTTTGCAGTTGCGCATGACGTCGCGATTGTAGTCATAATCGTCGTCGTGGTTGTAATCCTAATCGTAGCCGTCATTGTAGTCGCAGTTGTAAGCGTCGCCGCCGTCGCGGCGGAGATTCATGTTCCCTCTAGTGCTGGGCGGGATGTATAATGTCGGGGGCGCTCCTTCTCCCAGGGAATAATGCTCCGTGGGCGGTTCTGCGCGACAGAGGAATTTTGAGCACGTTTGTGCGAGGTCTACGCTAGAGATCGACACATTATTCGCTGAAGGCGTTGCTCACAATCTGTTGTTGTATCTCGTTGTCGTCATCGTTGGCGTGGCGGGTGCCGCGGATGAACAAGTAATTTTCGCGACTGGCGGGGCCCCAGTCCGTCAACGCGGGCGTCGAAACGATAATTCGTTTCCATGGTTTGGGGGGACCTAAAGACCTTCGAGGGCGGGTTCCGCATCGCCGATGTGTCGGCGATGCGGGTCGATGTGGAGCCCGATTTCCTTCACGTCGACGTCGCATTTGCATCGCCGATATATCTCCATGCGGCGCGATCCTCTGACCCAAGCTATTCGGACACAGTTCGGGAGGCTTCTATGACAACGTTCCCGCGGCTGCTGGCGCTCTGGCGACCGCGAGCCACTGGACGCCTGGGCCGCCAGGGCGCCAGCGACCCGAGCCGCTGGCTCGGTGCTCGCCCGAGCGCGCCCCAGCCGAGCCGCTGGCGCGGTGCCGGGCGGGTAGCTGGCGGCGCGGCGGGCGCCAGCGGCGGATCACAGCAGCGGCAGCGGCTCTCGAAGAAGAAGAGGAAGAAGAAGACGACGACGACGAATAATAATCATACTGATACGAAAAACAAGAATAATAATAATAATAATAGTAGTACGAATTATGATTATCAACATCAATATATTTATACAAGTAATAACAATTGTAACAATCATAATAGTAGTAGTACCAATTGTAATTATATTAGTGTGAATAATTTCAATACTAATAATAATAATAATAATAATAAAGAGTATCATTATGTTATTGATATTATTAGTGATCGTAGTAGTAGTAGTAGTAGTAGTAGTAGTAGTAGTAGTAGTAGTAGTAGTAGGAGTAGGAGTAGGAGTAGGAGTAGGAGTAGGAGTAGGAGTAGGAGTAGGAGTAGGAGTAGTAGGAGTAGTAGTAGTAGTAGTAGTAGTAGTAGTAGTAGCAGTAGTAGTAGTAGTAGTAGTAGTAGTAGGTAGTAGTAGTAGGTAGCAGTGGTAGTCGTAGTAATAGTAGTAGATGTAGTTGTTGTAGTAGTAGTAGTAATAATAATAGCAGTAGTAGTAGCAGCAGCAGTAGTAGTAGTAGTAGTAATAGTAGTAGTAGTAGTAGTAGTAGTAGTAGTAGTAGTAGTAGTAAAAGGTTTTCTTAAAAAGAGGAAAGGTAAAAGTAAAAATAAAAATAACAGTAAAAGTAATTGTAAAAGTAAAAGTAATAAAATGGCATAAACACAAATGTTTGACGGTCCGCGCGGATTTCTTGGATCGGCTCCGCGCGCCAGTGAAGGGGACCAGCCCAGATGCACAAACACCACGCGCACCGTCGAATAGTTTATTTAGGCAGCTTCTTGCTTGATCTAGGGTCCACGTGTTGCTCGCCTGACTGGCACGCCCCAGCGCTGGCGCGCGAGTCGTTGGGCGCTGGCGCCTGAGCCGCCAGGGCGCCAGCGACCCGAGTCGCTGGCGCGGTGCTCGCCCGAGCGCGCCCCAGCCGAGCCGCCAGAAGACGCCGCCAGCACAGGCCTCCAACGTCTTGGGAAGGAAAACACATGAGAAGCACCGACATGTAAAAGGCCCGAGACGCTTTGCGCTGTTCGCCCTCTGGGGAGCCGTTCTCCTGTCAGGTATAACCAGGACCCCAGTCAAGGGGAGCCGGTTAGTGATTGGGCCCCAAAGCAAAAAAAAATAGCCTGGCGAAAGACCCAACCATACGCAGTTGAGAGCGCCGCAATTGTGAATCTCGTCTTCGGTGGAGCTCCCTATGAGGCCAAGAACCGCGTGAGGGGTGTGCCGATGTATGGCGGGGAACGCAACGCGGAAGAAGACGATAGGTCTGACAGCACCCATTGGCAGCACGCCCTACCCTCGCCAAGCTGTCTCGCCTGCTCGGCGCTCTGCAATTCGCCCTCTCATCGATCGAGGCCTCGATGTTTGAGCCCCGATGCCATGAACACAACGCGGCGTCTGGAGGCCGCTTCTGGGCGCTGGGGCCCTAAACAAAACTACCCGGGACTGACCACCGGGATGGGGTCGAGAGGTCCGGGGGCTTCGCGACGCGACCAAAAATCGGAACCTGGAGCCCTAAACAATACTACCCGGGACTGGCCACCAGGATGGAGTCGAGACGTCCGGGGGCGTCGCGACGCGAAACGAATCGGAAGTCTGAGGTCTCACCCTCCTGGCCAAGATGTCTCCCCGTGCTCTTCTGCTCCACTCTGATATCCATCCTCCCCTACCCGTCATCCTCCACCTTCCCGTCCTTCTCCTCCTCCTCCTCCTCCTCCTCCTCCTCCTCCTCCTCCTCCTCGTCGTCGTCGTCGTCGTCGTCAGCAGCGTCAGGGTCGTCATCATCCTCAGCATCAGCATCGCCATCATCATGAGCATCGTCGTCATCAACGCCATCTTCTGGACGATGATGATCATCGTCATCGGCATCGACATCGACATCATCATCATCATCATCATCATCATCATCATCATCATCATCATCATCATCATCATCGGCATCGGCATCGGCATCGGCATCATCATCATCATCATCATCATCATCATCATCATCATCATCATCATCATCATCATCATCATCATCATCATCATCATCATCACAATCATCATCGTTATCGTCAGCACTGTCATTTTTGTCATCGTCACCATCGTCAGCATCATCATCATCATCATCATCATCATCATCATCATCATCATCATCATCATCATCATCATCATCATCGTGACCATCGTCATCAACAGCATCATCACCAGCATCATCATCATCATCTGCATCATCATCAGCCGCATCACCATCATGATCATCTGCATCATCATCATCATCATCATCATCATCATCATCATCATCATCATCATCATCATCATCCGAATCATCATCATCAGCATCATCATCATCATCATCATCATCATCATCATCATCATCATCATCATCATCTTCAGCATCATCTTCAGCATCATCATCATCTTCGTCATCGTCATCATCACCATCATCATCATCGTCACCATCATCATCAACATCCTCATCGTCATCATCGTCTTCGTACCAGTCGAAGGGGGCTACCTCCTCTTCCTCCTCATCTTCCTCCCACTCCCTCTCCTCCTCCTCCTCCTCCTCCTCCTCCTCCTCCTCCTCCTCCTCCGACCTCCTCCTCCTCCTCCGTTCCTCCGCAGCCCACTCCGTTCGTCCTCCTCAGAACTCCGACGGCCTCCGACGCAGGTGTCCGCAAGTCTCCGGACGCATCCCCGAAGCCCCCCGAGGCCACCAGTGGGCCTGGAACGCCCTCGACAAGTCTCTGGCAATAACGCCAGTAGCTCGGGCACCCGGGCTGGTTGCGGCGATCGCCCCTGGAACGCTGTCGGCGAGGCGCAGCTACTGGGTTACACATCGCAGCCTTCAAAAACGAACGCATGGAACTAACCCCACCTTCGGAATGCCGCCACTGAGGCCTCCGGTGGAGCCTACGAAACGTGTCAGGGAGTGCCGAAATGGCGGTGACGGCTCCCTATGGCCACGACACGCTGTCCTGGGCTGGGGAGACGCATGCGGACTGCGCCACTGGGGCCTTCCCCTCCGTGGCCTTCCGTACTGCTAGTGCCATCGCGGCTTCACTTTGCAGCTTCTCGCTGCTCCCATTTCTGGACCCATGCCGGCTCCACAACGCCGATGATTCGGTAGGGTTGTCGCCACATGCTGGCCGAGGCGCTGTCCTCGTCGGCTACATAGAGCGGCGTTGGCAATGTGACGACTGGCTCGAGCGGGGCCAGCTAACTCTTGCAAGGTCCACAGCCTGACTCACGGTGTTGTTGTTCCACAGAACGTCGCGTGTGACCGACAGTGCGACCTCGAGCAGCACGGCCAGGACCAGCGCCGTATCGGTCAGTGCAATGTCCACGGCCCGTACCACTGCGTGTTCCACGTCGTCAGTGTGTGCCAGCATGAGCGCTGTCGGGTCGGCCAACGCAATATCGAGCAGCACGACTTCGAGTGCAACATCGTTGAGCATCCCCCTTCCTGCCGCCTTGGCTCCAGCGTTTCGGGACGGACTCGGCTACCCCCGTGTGCCGATGCCAGGTAGATCACCAGCATGACTCAAGAACAAATAGGTTTTCCTACATTCCTGCGGCTGTTAGCTGCACCCTACCAGAGCACCGGGTCGTCCCAGTCGTCGCCAGTGCGAAGCCTCTCGCGTCTGTCTGCGGCACCCTACCAGAGAGCACTCCGCAGGCGACGCTACCCCCCTTCGCCCTGCGGCCTGTATCCAAACCCCGACCGGGCGGCGGTGTGTTTCAGATGAAATCAACTCCCTTTTCCTACGACTGTCAGCTGCTACCCAGCAGAAAGTTGACCTCACACTGGCGAGCTACTATCACCGCCATCATCCTGCAGCTGTTTGCTTCCACTCCACTTTGCTCTTGGTCGTGGACGGCAATCGGCTACCCCCCCGACTGCCGCTCCCAGTCCAACCTCCAGTATGTCTCAGGCAATAGCACCTTTTGCCACCTCCCTGCGGCTGCTAGCTGCACCCTACCAGTCCCTGGCCGCCTACAGCGAGCCAGGGAGGCGGCAGTCATCCAAGGGGGGATGCGCCGCAAGAGGTGCCCTGGGAGGGGGACCTAGCGCCTGAGACGGGCCATGAGCCCCAGCCTGGCACGTCCGAGGCGGCATTAGCACGTCAGTGAAGGCCCCATAGGGAGCTCCACCTAAGGTCCCAGTGGCACAGTTCGCATGCGTCTCCCCCATCCAGGACAGCGCTTCGTGGCCCCATAGGGAACGCCACCGAAGTCTCAGTGGCGCAGTTCGCACGCGTCTCCCCCGCCCAGGACAGCGTTTCGTGGCCCCATAGGGATCCCCACCGAAGGCCCAGGGGCGCAGTTCGCATGCGTCTCCCCCGCCCAGGACAGCGTTTCGTGGCCCCACAGGGAGCTCCACCGAAGGCCCCAGTGGCGCAGTTCGCATGCGTCTCCCCCGCCCAGGACAGCGTTTCGTGGCCACATGGGGAGCCCCACCGAAGGCCCCATTGGCGCAGTTCGCATGCATGCGAACTGCGTCACTGGGACCCTCGGTGGGGCTCCCTATGGGGCCACGAAACACTGTCCTGGGCTGGGGAGACGCATGCGAACTGCGCCACTGGGACCTTAGGTGGCGCTCCCTATGGGGCCACGAAACGCTATACTGGGTGGGGAAGACGCATGCGAACTGCGCCACGGGGACCTTCGGTGGAGCTCCCTATGGGGCCACGAAACGTGTAAGGGGTGTGCCGAAGCTGATGGCGATGATTGTGACGATGACGGAGATGATGATGACGACGATGGTGATTGCGACGATGACGATGATGACGACGATGATGATGCTGATGGTGATGACGATGATGATGATGATGATGATGATGATGATGATGATGATGATGATGATGATGATGATGATGATGATGATGATGATGATGATGATGATGGAAAGAGGGAGGAGGGGGAGGAGGAAGGAGAGGAGCGCGGGGCACCGTCTCTTCAAAACGAGGACCCAACACCACAGGATGGTTGCGTGACGATG